GTTATTTTTTCACATCATCTAATTCCATGGTTCCATGTGTTTTCCAGTAGGTGATCTGTGACAAACAGTTGTATCATGTAAAATCTATTTAAACTGGTATGTTTTCATTCCATTGAAGGAGTGGGCGAGGGAAGGAGGTGACAAGTACCAGAATAAAATGTATGAAAGTACAATGCACCAACATTTCTACGTTCTAGCTTATCCGAGCTATTCTTCTATGGAAGAAAATGAAATTATATTTGATTTCTTTCTTTACGAAATAGCGGGCATGAAGTTTAATCTACAACTTGCTTTGCGAATCACACACTTTGAGGTGGAATCTCATCACTGTTTTCTATCAGAAGAGGTGCAAACAAGTGAAACGGCAGTCTTTTTGTTTAGATCACTTCTAACTAGCTAACCGGCACTGCTGGTCGATGTTGGTGCTGCCCAACTATCCATATTTATGCATCAGCAGGATTCAAACATCTTCATATCTTATCCTGAGTGAACAAAGTTGCAGCCTGAAATCAATGAAACAACCTCTTATTATCGATATGTTGATGGCACATTTTTAGTATGCAGTGATGACAGTTATACGCCTCACCTGTTTGGACAATTCAGTAACACACATGAAAGTATTTGCTTCATGCAGCATGGATTTGATATCGACTGGCGACGACTAAAATATGGTAGTCTCCACAGATCAGTTCATCGAAAGTGTGCATACACCGGACAATACTTAAATTTCACTAGTTTCATATCAAAGACCTTGATATGATTATGAGCAGTTAACTGTACTCAAAACGTCATCAGTAAATATTACTGTGTAACACTGTGAGACTTTATCAAAATAAATTTTATCCATAATGGAGTTATACTCTACCACAGTGCACAAGTTTATTCTTATATCAGTTATATCTATTAGCTTCTAGCTTAGGTCTCAGTAAGATTCTGTGAGAGAAAGGGTACGTGGTGTAGGAGAGGTGTGAACAAGTGTGTGTAAAAGTGTACAATGCAGAGTTTGTATGAAAATGACTACCATCATTGGATGCTGATTGTTTGTAATGTCATGTGATAAACAGGTCACCCATTGTTTATTTAGTTAATGGACAGACAAAGCATATTGTGAGTTATAATGGAATATCGACCAATGTACACATAGCCAAATATGTCAGACTGTCAAAAACAAAATAGACATCATGTGACTACATATCAAATTCTAGGCTATATTTCAAGTCACAAACTAGAATGAAACAGAGCTACAGTGATCACTTGTATTCCATGATCCATTCACCAGCCATGTTTCCTGATGAAATCGAAGATGGAAGTGAATCACGTGCGTTGGAGTCAACATTTGAGAGAGATAACCAATGTTATTAGTATTCATTCCTTTAGTTCCGAGTGGTGTATACCCATTCCAGACGAAATGGAATATGATAGGATAGATCCCATCATGGTGACCTGTGTCCAGGAGTACTGACAAGCACGCTTTCTCTTCACATGACCTCCTTCATTTCTCCATCAGACACACTTGACATGTGGATTCCCATTGTCAATGTAGTTGAAGATTGAACGATCAATTCATGGTTGTTTTTGTTTAAACCAACTCCATATTTTGGCGGGAGTAACCGATACTGCAGTCATCGTTCCAACTTTCGCTGTCCGTTAGTAGACGGAGAAATACTATCAGAAGTATTATTGTGATTTATTGTTATGACACTCATTCTGAGACCTGTGTTGAATCACCTAATGGTTGGCTCTATATTGGTGCAAGAATAAAGGGTTCTTGAGTCACCAATCTGTGTTCTGGTTTTTCACGTTGGTTATTGCACAAAGTTGATGAAAGTCTTCTAAGGACAATATGAAGTCCAGTGTAGTTAGACCTGGACATTGACACCCGTTGATTCTTCACGCCAAATCCGAATGAAATGATAATCTATGGTATATGATGTGATGCAATATAGTTCCATCATAACTATGATCGAATCCCCCACTATCTATGTCTCTCCAGCATTTTCTTCAAGAATTGCAGAACAATATTTTGAAATGGAAATGAAAATGTGCGTGAGTGTATGTTTTATCAAAGAACATGATTGTCTGAAAACAAAATAACTGATGGATAAAATTGCATGCATCACACTCGAAAAATGTTGGTGGTTCACTGTGATTGAAACAGCTATACACAAGACAAGTAGAGGATCTGAATTTTGATGATGATCTGTGCCGTAACTATTGACAAGCACAGACAAACAAGTTGGTAAGAGCTGCAATGATGACAGGATTCAAGTTGAATTAGTGTAGCGAATTTACAAAACAGATTTCTAATAACCAGCTGCAGACTACCATCAACATCTGCCTTCCCAAGATACTAAGTAACAGGTGACCCACCAGAGAGGATAAGCAATGCAACAAGAAGCTGTAGCTATGCAGAAAACCAATCAACACGATATTGCTCAACTAAAGAATATTCAGAAGGAAGTGGAGATGAAGTATGTGTATAGTGATCAAACATTTCTGGGAACACCATTCACCATGAACGCCCTCGATTGCAGGGATAATGGTAATCGAAGTTCTGTGAATCGACCTCATGATAACACGAGAGAGCTAATGTGAACAAGGAATGGAAGCTTGCATACAGTCGTGGAGTTAGCCTTCAAGTCATCAGGAAACAGAAGTTGATGTCAATGTTGTAAATGAGCCCTCTGTTTCACTGAGAACACAAACAATGTATAATAGTCTGTGACCTTTGGTAATAGTTTTCACTGGACGTAGAAGAAGTTTATGGAGTAAGTTAACTTACAGTGACGTAATTAAGTATTGTGGAATCAAAAAATAACAATAGCTTCAACACTGTTATTGAATGGTAACAGAAAGTCGAAAAGTGGTAGAATCTCCAAACTTTTCTTATTTCTGAGATGTCAAATGAAGAAGCAGATATGCGACTGAGAAAACTGCAACTTGGATTTCACCTGGAACCACCATTATTCACAAAACCATTGGGGACCATGGATTATTAGGGTTGATTTCATCCTGCTTCAAGGCTTTACAGCAGTACACCCTTAGAATCCACGAGAAATCGTAGGCGGTTTCTGTGGCTGTGACTTCGTTGAAGAATTATGATAGAAAGTCGGGCTCGTTGTATTTGATCATGTAGTGAAAAGCTGCCTACTATCATGAGTGATATTCCTAATTGTAGTGGACTGAATTATGCGACAAAATTGACATTGAGACCGAGAAGACAGGCATACATTGGACCAATGAGAACACGCGAGATGACTTGAACTTCAGTCACATCATCCATCGTTGATCATCATCAACTTTGAACCCTGTGTTTATTAAGTTGGCCGAAATCAATCAATCAATCGAAATGATTCTCAGAGAAATCAAACTCAATACATGTCATATCATTGACAATGGAGTGAATGTATTTCTCAAGTGAGTCACTACTATGTATTGAGTAAAGTTCATTTTTTCCCTAACTCATATTAATATGTGTAGAACTTGGTCACTGTCTAATAAACAAACTAATATGCAATTGCATTTCCTACATTCTGGTACACCATCATACTAAGCGGTGAGCATAAAATGCATGAACTGCTGTAATTGGTGAGTGAGGTCACTGAAACAAAAGTATAGTGCATAAGGTGATTTACGAATGATGATATTTGAATAATGTGCATGGTCGCTTAATCCACTTATATAAGTAGTATAGTGCGTGTGCGTATGCGAAACAGTCCCATAGATATATATTGTATCGAGAAAGGTGAAATACAAGATTTTGTGATAGGATTCTTCTGAGAATGATACATGTCACATTGAAATCGTATTTTCTCGAAATTTTCTATCATTTTTGCAAAATGGATATTTGTGGTATGGTAGATGGATTTATTACAGGTAATGACTGCTACATTCGGTCATGGCAAAGTGTAAGTTCTCTGCCAATGCTTGCAAGCCGCCATGTGATTAGGTTCATGGTGGCTCAGAAATAACAAAAGAAAATAGATATAGGCAGTTTTTTATTGGCTGTTGGCTAGCTGGCTTTTTATTAGTCTAAAATATAAATTAAAGCGCCAATCCCTTTATTTTTACACGGAAATTTACAGTCAGTAAAATTTCGGGCTTACCTTACCATAATATAATGGCGTGTTAATTTTTTTGGTGTGAGTGTAGTGTGATAGTCACAAGCTATTTGGATGCATTGTTGATGTTTAAAGTATATTGAGATGTATGAGAATATCCAGAAAGTGAATATAAATCAACAATAATTTTGATGCATTTATTTTAAGTTCAAAATAGGATGTATGCCATTTTGGTTACTAGGCGAATATAATTCAACTACCATTTCTATAAATTTAATATGTCCTGAATTATTACATGTAGAAATATGAATGTAGTAACTAATCTACTTTTTTAAGTTGTCACTTCAATGATTTGTGGGAATTGTGCGTACTACGTCAGCATAAATGAAGTAAATTGACAAGGTCATGGCCAGTGGTATATAAGCACTGAAATATATACTAGTGTTTATTTACTTGAAGTCATAGTGTTGTGCACGTTAGGAATTGTTGAAACGATTAAATGATGTTGCAAAGTACTCCTACTGCGTCTACTTCAAGAAATATATCATCTTTATTGTGTGATGTAACAGCTATATTCCAAAGGATAATGTTGTGTTGTATATTTTATACATGGACACAATTTAAGGAAGCTTTAGACACATTTATGAAGGTACTAACTAAGTTGTTCTTTATTTCTTTGAAAGGAATCCAATACATCCTATCGTGTTGATTCAAGTAAAAAAGATCGACCCGGTGCTGATGACTACAAGTTTGTTAAGTTTAAATGCACTTTTGGAAGTCATCGTGCTCCCCGAGGTGCTGGCTTTAGGAACAGAGGGTAAGTTGGCTGCGTGTGCAAATTTTAAAAATTTTAAGGTTCAAAAGTACATCATGTCAGTCAATAATTCTAGTCCAGCGGAAATCCAACGTATACATGATAACCAAGTACAAAACTGTGCATAACCATCCCTGCACAGCAAGTTTTATGTCCACCGATGTATCTAGACGTCGGTTATCATCACAAGAAATGGCAATTATCCAACCGTTCATTGAAAGGAATACTGATGTCCATGAAATCATGGATCTAGCACATGAGAAGTTCGGAAAAGCGCTCCTGTATAACGATATTAAAAACATGCGGGCTAAGATAAATAAACGTAAGTCCTATCAAAATAAATGGTGCAGTAGAATAGAAATTGGTTGTTTGGAAGAGCTGCTTCATCGACTGAGGCAGACAGGTCCAGTTAAAGTTTTGCAGGACAACGCAGGCTTTGTATCTAAAATCATTTTTGCTCGTAATGATATGATAGACGTGTATCATAAGTTTCCAGAAGTAGTTGGAATCGATTGTACTTACAAAACGAATAAGATGGGGTAAGTTTCAGTACAACAAGGTATAATTCCTTTTCCAAATTTGTTACAGATGGCCTTTATATCAGTTTGTTGTGACTGATGGATTCGGAAGAGGAAGGACTGTTTTGTTTGCTCTTACTAGGAGAGAAACGTTTGCAGATATCAAGGAGATATTGCAAACGTTTAAGAGATTTATGGTGGATACATCGAAAACATTAACATTCACTGTCGACTGTGCAACTGCACAGATGAAAGCCCTAAAGGAGGAATTCCCCAGTTGCAATATTGTTTTGTGTCTTTTCCATGTATGCCAGGCATTCAGAAGGAAGGTAAGTTACATTCCCATTAACTGACATAGGGAAAACAGTTCCCAAACCAGCTTGTTAAAAAGTGGTTGTATCGAATGGCGCACACGCGCAGTTATGACAGGTAGGTTAGCAAATCAGAGTATATTGCCAAAGGTTTTGGCGTTACCTAAACCTCATAAGTATTGTAGACGCTGAGGCTGGTGCTTACATTAGAAGGTACTGGCTAAGAACACGCAAATATTGGGCTGCATCGTGCAACAGGTTCACCATCAGCATGGGGAACAATACTAACAACAGAGTTGAGAATGCTCATAGGCAGTTGAAAAGATATCTACGTAAAGGTGATCCGATGGAACTGACGCTATGGAAAATATGGAGGTGGATCGACCACACAACCATGCGTAAAATACGTCAGGGCCAGTGGATGCTTGCTAAATACTACAATTACGATGTAAGTTCGAAGATAATTTACGATTTATCCTAGGTACCTAATTCCCTGAAGTCTCATTTACGGAGTCTCACACCGTTTGCTGCCCAGAAAGTTGTGTTAGATTTACAAAGGCGTTCCTTCTTCTTCCATTCAATATCTTCTACCTCAGTTGTTTACGCAGAAGGTGGTCACATATTCTTCGTAAACAGGAACGAGGCGAAATGCACATGTTGGACATACTGCGCATACAATTTGCCTTGTGCACATGTCGTTGAGGCGTTCTTGAACTCACATCTAAATTGTGGTATGTTCCATTTCTTTAAATGTTACTCTTAGATATTCTGAGGAATAGTGAGAGTTGGACACGTGTATATAACACAACGGACAACATTCCGAGGGCCATCCGGTTAATACCGGAACCAAACAACGCGTTTCGAAATGCTTATGAACGCTTAAGATGTCGTCTCAACAGTCTGAACCGAAGAAATCCGGATGCTGCACTGCGGGAAATAGCGGACTTTACCAGAAGGTTGGACAGTTTGCTAGCAAATGAACCGCAAACAACTTTAAGATTACGACGTGCCCCTGTTAATCGATTATTTTTGTGAAAATATTTGTATTACCTTTTTATTTCCATTTGTATTCAGAATATAAACATGTATGTATAAACTGCAGTTACACTTCCTTTCCTTTCAAAAGGCTAAGACCGACAGTTTAAAGAATACTTTGGTTGATTGTTTCGTTAAGAGAGCGCTTTGAAAGTCACTTAGAAATTAAAACGATCTGTGCCTTATTTACTACGTTTTTCAGCCGAGCATTTGCGGTTCATAGCATATCATGAATAACGGTGATTAATACGATTTATCACTTAGACCGCAACACCACCAAGCCTACTATATTCATAAACTTATTCTAACCTATTCATCGATAAGGCCTTTTTATGGTAAATGAAGCTCTTATTTACCCACCATTTTCTCAAATAACGCTGGTCATGCTTACAATGATACCTAGGTGCTGAATTGAGTCTTTTAGTTCTGAAATAACGCTAGTTCGAAACTAATTTGTCCTGTGAGGGATGGAACAGAGCGGATAAGCAAACCCAGTCGGTTCCATTTACTTTCAATCATGATAAGAAACCAGCTCTTAGTTTTAATCTCAAACAATAGCAGAACGGTTAGGCAGTTTACTTATTGAATAAGGTTACTATATTATAAAACTTTACCTTATTTGGCTGAATCATTAAAGGTTCACCATAACCCTTGACTACCAACATAAAAACTGGGAACTTTAGGCCAAAAATCACCTTAATAGTAGTATCCAGTGACATAAACTGATCTACACACTGCAAAATGGGAAAAACATGCAAAAAACCCTTAAAATTCAATGGAAATCGAATTCACGAAAACATATAACCAGCCGACGCAGGAACTCATCATGACCTTGAAACTGACTGTAGCCTCTTTCATATATATTATTAAGTTCTCTCCATGTAAAGTGTAGCCAAATTATTCAGACTTCAATGTGTCTGATCTCACTCATGATTTTCCTTTGTTTCTATCACTGACTGAATGTCTCTCCATTTTCCTACATCCTGTTTCTGATGAGTGTTAAGCAGAACAAACATGAGGAGGGAAAGACTGCTTTACGTCTAAATAGTTAGCTTTCACTCCCTCTCTGTCTCCTATAACCAATAACTTTGTAGTCCATTACAATCAGACTTGAAATGTTTATCATCATCACCAATAATAGAATTCATTCATTGCTTGTCTCCTCGAGCGGAACACTGATCAACTTTTCAACATAATATTTCCAAACGATTGAGAGCCTGCAATTCTATCCAGCTCCACTACTTCACGCGTGCTTTCGGTTCATCTTCACATTATATTTTCCATTTTGACATCATACCAAATCCAAGTTTGTCCCTGATCTTTCAGGTTGCATTCGAGGAGTGGAACAGTGTGTGGTGTCACTCGATGATCTTCACTGTGTATATCCGGTTAACCTTCATTTCCTACTGAATATTCGTGAGTGGGACCATAGGTTGTTATCTGGCTCTATTTTACTTCTCCCTCTCTTTCCACTTCAACTGATGTCGTTTTAGTCGTCTGGAGTAACATTTATCTTTGCATCATCTATTTCTTGAAGAATTCTTACTACATCGATGGAGCAATCATTTGACAGCTATCTGAACAATGTGGAGTGAGTCGCCATAAATTTTGACAAGTCTGACTCATTTTTGGTGTGATGAGGACAAATACCGAGCACATCGTAACCTACTGCTCACTGGTGTATTTGAAGTGGGGGCAGGAGTTGATATGATGAAGATACTGATGGCAGCGGTCGAGGCAACGAGACAAACAAGTTCAGATTAATGGGAACTAACTTCTCAGAACCCTCTTAAATCCACCTACCTAAACAGGAAATCATCGTTTCAAACACAGTAGGCTAGCTTGATGATAACATACGGCGGATCCTGAAATCAGGACACAGATCATTGCTATGAAATCGATTTGAAAGTCTTCAGCAGTCAACTCATTTAAAGGATGTGGAAAGATGCTCAACAATGGCGTTCTTTACGATGCAGAGACATGTCGAACTCACTAAGCTTCAGAACAACGTGCTACGGTTCTACACTAAAAATCAGATATGAGGTCACGAAAGGTAAGAAACAAGGAGATCTTCCAGAAGAAACAACAGGCGTAGAACACACCGTCCAACGAAACTGTGGAGGGCAATGAAGTATGATTTAGGACAGATAAAGAGATAGACGGATGGAAACGGTACTTGGAATAGTCAAATAAGAAGTAAATAGTGTCGCGAAGAATCAGTGGGAATCCACATGTCAGATATGTCTGTTGGAGAAATGAAGGAGGTCATGTGAAGAGAAAGCGTGCTTGTCAGTACTCCTGGACACAGGTCACCATGATGGGATCTATCCTATCATATTCCATTTCGTCTGGAATGGGTATACACCACTCGGAACAAAAGGAATGAATACCAATAACATTGGTCATCTCTCTCAAATGTTGACTCCAACGCACGTGATTTACTTCCGACTTCGATTTCATCAGGAAACATGGCTGGTGAATGGATCATGGAATACAAGTGATCACTGTAGCTCTGTTTCATTCTAGTTTGTGACTTGACATCTAGAATGCCTAGAATGCCTTTCGTATTACAGTTGCGTATTGTGGAGAAATCTCTGAAGAGGAAGAAGAAGGATGAATTAACCCCTCTATGGTCACTGGTTTTCAAAAATTCTCCTACTGATGTTGTTTCAGGATAAATTCTATCTAGGAATCACACGAGGAGAACTAGTCACTTTCAGCCTGTCATGTGAACTGCACTCACTGCAAGAGTTCATGGTGTTGAAATGAATTCTGCATCACGTTGGAGTTTGCATACTTCTCAGGAGGCACTCAATATCGATGAAATATCCTTCTGATGAATTCAGTTCCCAGTAACACCCAACTGATGTTAACATTTTTATTAAGGAGCATGTTAATTCTGTTATTGACTTGGATGCATAGTCAGTGAAATTCCTAAACAGAAATGTCGGTTTCGGTGGAGAATCAATAATGCAGTATTTTCAACTTCTCAGGTGGTGAAATAAGGACGTTTGTCCACTTTGCCACCAAGCTGATCAGCATAATGCCGATGAATGGTAATTAGTAAGACTATTATTATTAATACATTCTTTTATATGGGGTTATGCTTGATTGTAAATGTCAGACATTAATTAGATACATTCTCACAACTTTTATTGGCATCCTGTCTTCCAGGCTAAACTTAATGAAGCCAATCTTGGAAATATTGTTTTCAATTCAGAAATCTTATTCAGTTTAGGTAATACGTTTGTTATTTTGTTGTGTGGCGGAAAGCGAGACTTTTACATCAGTGTGGGTTAAGTTGTAAGACTTCAGTGATATTTCGTACTTGATCATCATAATTTGGTTTTTTGAAAGAAATTCACAAAAAATCTCAGTTCTTTTTTTAACTAGAACAATCTTATAAATGTGGGTATCCTACAGGATTAATCGAGAAGCATATGAGAGTAAGGCACAAATCTGAAAGAATCCACGAAGCGCTGAAGAAGCTGATGTCTACGAATGTTTACCTCAGGGGTGATACTCTAGTTGGGATCCTGAAGAACGCTTCTGTGAAAAGCATTATTTTCTGTTGACCAATAGATCAATTTCTAAAATGAGGAAACAATAAATGAATTTGTGAATGACAAACCGTCGTTTTGGGCCTCTTCAGCGTATATTTATGAGTGCACTTACTCCTGTGCAGCTATTAGTATTGGCTCCGAAAAGCACACTCATTCTAAACGCATCTCTGGACATTATCCGGCCTGGTGATCAAGAAGAAAATGCAAGTAGAAAACCTTTTCACTTGTCAATCACCTGGTGAACACAGACAACGCAGATCCACTGAAATCCTCTTTTAAAATCCTTAAAAAGGTTAGACTGGATGGTGCGAAAGTTGTTGCGTTTCAAAACCTGTGTATGGTGGAAACATTACCAATTCACCAATATAGCGCAGAATTACGTTTGAGGAAATGGTTTATTCAGTCTCTTATTCTACCATGGTCT